TCCCTCTCCCTCTCTCTTCTTTTTTTCCTCTTCTAACCAGACAGCGGGAGGGTTTCTGGCTCCCAGCCAGCCCAAAAGCCTCTAAGTGTTTTGCACTTGTTTCAGGGAGTAGCTGCCCGGGGATTTTTCAGCATTTTCACTAGAGAACAAAGAGTTCTTTACAAAGGGAAAAAGGGGGGGGGGGAGTGAGCTTAATGTCTGATATATGTTTTTCTATTTTTATTAGTTTTTCGCCTAAAAAGAAAGAGACAGGAACAGAACATTCACTCTATAAAGACACAAAGACATTCAAAAGAAATCCAGTTATCTTTTCTCCCCATCATCCCAATATATATACATGAAAAAATTTAAAAGAAAAAGACTAATTAAGTTGGATATGTTGCTCTTTTCTCCTCTTTTAATCTTTCTAAATCCAACTGTTCTTATGTTCGCTCTATGCTATTTTTTTCTACTCACAATAAAAGTTGTTCAGGATGCATCTCCTCTTATCATCTCTTTACCCTTTCTGGGTCTCCAAAATCTTGTGGAGGAAAGAACAAGAGTCCACCAAATAATCAATTTAGTGGTGAGAACATCTTCTACTTTTGCCACTTGGGTAAAAGTTAATTATGGGATTTGGGTTTCCAAAATACCAGGGGTACATCAGTTCATTGGATCTCACAAGTTTTTGCATCCATCTGTTTAAAAGGTAACACTTGTGTCACTTGTCAGTTATTAAGAAAAGGTAGTAAGGAAGCGGATATTTGTATTTTATTTTTGTTTCTAATTACGTAAATAACAAACCCCCAGAGATCACTTGTCCCATCTATGATATACTAGTTCAGGCAAAATATAGTATAAACGGAGATTTTTCAACTGTTCTGATTGCCACATAGCTTTGTGTTCTTCATTTGAATTTTTGCCTATGCATGTATATTTTTACCATGAATTTGTGTTGTAGCAAACATTCTAGAATGCTTATCATTTTCCAATTAATGCTTCAACAAAAGAAAAATAGAAATAAGGATGTGAACTGTACATGCAAAATGTGGTAAACAGTTTTATCTTTTATATATGCTGTACATTTATATCTTTATACAAATTCCTTCGAATTATAAACCCAAGAAAATGTTTTCTTTATAAAAGTTCTCCTTTTAATGTATTTATATTTTGATTGTCATTTGGATATCTTTTTAAGGTACATAGTGGACACAAAACTAAACAAGGGAGAAAATTCAAAGCTTCACAAAAATCTTTAAATATATATTATGTACAGTACCTAACTACAGATAACTATTTTGCTAAGTGGAAACAACTACAACAGTTGTTTCAAGAATCAGAAACTCTTTTCTTCTTTTTTATCCCATTAACTGAAAATAAAATCTATTCATATCCCTGGGGAGGGAAACTGTAGGAGAAAATATGAGTATATACCTTTTTTTCATATTTATAGAATGCATTTATGTAACTGCTTCCTAAGGGTATAATACATATTAGGGCAGAGTGTGACGCCTCATCAGTAAACCCTCCTGGCTGGGAGGTGTGAGTGCCTTATGTTTGAAGTAACTTGATAACAAGGAGTCTTTTCGGAAAACCTTACTATGTATGTGTTGCCTCAGTAATGACCCTCAGAGAAAAAACAAGTACTAGGTGGCCAGTGTTAGCACTTGAACTTGCTGAAAGATATTAGAATGAGGGGAACTTTTGGCAAATCCAAAATTTTCCAGGGTAACTCACTTCTTACAGTTGCATGTTTTCTTTAGGAAAATTCTTGAATTGGCTTCAGACTTTTCTATATTTTATAGAATGTTTAATGCTTTTAATAGTGCTTAAGGAGAAAAAGACCTTTAAAAAGAACGCCGTCAAAATAAAAGAAACTCGGGCTTTAAAAAGTTTTATATTGAAGGCAAGAGCTTTTTTTTTTTTCTTTTGGCTTGTTTTTTATTTTTTTTCCCCTTGAACTCTTTTGTTGCTATGGGCTGTTGTGCCTGCATTTTTGGTTTTCGTTTTGTTCTTTTCTTTTTGTTTTTGGTCTGTTTTTGATGTGACCAAGGGGGTCTCTGAAAGGGGCAGAGGGACTAGGATAAGAGGCTGTTACTGAAAGCTGCACCAGTTCCTCTCGACCCTAACTCAGGCAGCTCCTATCAGCTAGTTGTGCCGCCAAGAGTACAGTGACAGGTGATAGCTGTCATTCTGGGATTCTTCGTGGATCTGACCTGAGAGTAACACATTCACAGTGGAGGAGAAAAGGGAAAAAAAATAGAGGAGGAGGAAAGAAAAGCTCTTTGAGCTGGAATACACTGGCCCTTTCTTCCTGTAGGCAATCCGCTCCGGTTCTTGGCGACGTGTCCTGCACTATCAGATATCATATGACTTTTTATTTAGATTCCTTTTCGGAGAATGGCCTGTTAGGACTCTGTTTGTTTTCTTTTATTTAATTTCCTTCTCCCCTCACCCGCTAGTTCTGTGTATCTGTGTGTGTCAGAGAGTGTGTGTGCGCGCATGCATATGTGGGTGCAATTTTTATCTTTGTTTTTGTTCTGTTGATCTGATGCTTTATTTAAAGACAAAGCTTTAATTATTTCAGTATACTGGTTTAATCATTTGCCAAAAAGAAACCTCATTGTAGGCTTTTTGGGGGGTCCACTTTTCAGCACGCTCATTAACACATGAGGCTGCAGACCCTAAATGCTGCTGGTCAGCCCCTGGCCCACTCCCTCACCTTAATCTAACCCTCCCCCTCATCAGCATGCACAGCAGTGTGAGTTAGGAAACACCTGTGCTGAGTTGAGAGCGAAATAAAAGTAGAAGCAACTTCTTCAAATTTGCACTCCTAGTTTCACTTTAATAAACTTTTTTTTAATCGTTAATTTTTTTTTTTTTTTTTGGCACCCTCTGTTGAGCTTGAAAGCATCGGAGATGGTGAACGATGTGACTGTGGAGCTTTTGTGAGGCCAGCTGAGCACCCTTGGAAAGTAGAGCAGGAGCTGATATTCATTCAGAGACTTAGGAATTAAAGGAAGAGATTTAAATAAAATCTGTGAGATCTGTGGGCCATTCAGGGTTTGGTCATAGCTGGTAAAATGGAATACTTAGGGATATTCAAGGAGAAAGAGAAATTCCCAGCCAGGAATGACACAGACATTTCTGCTGTAATTTGTACTTGAAAAACCTTATTTAATCAAATTTTTATTTTGTATATCTCAGAATTTAACCAGTTGATATGTGATTGCCCTCCTTTCCATGCTTGCTATAAAAAACAGACAAATTATATTGACATTATTACTGGTTTTCTCCTAAATTTTTGATGTAATTCTTTCTCAGTATTGAAGAGTTCAGATTTTAGTTAGCAAAAGAAAAATGTAACTTCTCTAGGTATGCATATGGTTGTATACACGTTATTCACATCTATACATAACATAATATATCTGTTTGTATCAGGATATAATTTTGTATAGTAACACACAAGACTGCCTGGTGAAGGTTCAGATAACCATTATATTCTTTAAACCCATAGTTTTTAGTTTCTTGTTACTTTCTCTGAAATTATTTTTTACAGACCTTAAATTTTGCAAAGCCTTGCCATAGACAGAGGTGAATTTTGTTAAAACTTGGAGGAAAATTTATTCCACCCATTTAAGGGTACCCAAAAGGGAAGAGAGAACTATTTTTCGTTCAACAAAAAAATTTAGAAGCCTTTTTCCTTCAGCGGAAAACTCCAAAACAGCTTTGCCTCAGAACGTTAAACTTGGCATGGATAAGAAATGTGAGTTTTGCTTTGTTTGAGGAAATTTGTTTTTGAAACAACAATGTTATAAATATTTTTAAATTGCCTGCTGAGCATGCGCTGTGTCTGACTTTATTCATAGTTTTAAACACACACCAAAGTGCAGTCTTCTGAATGGCCACAGGTAAAGCTGTTGATTTGTATAATCTTTCTCAGAGGCACCTTCAGTGAGTCTACTCAGTTTTCCAGAAGGGAAAAGGGTGAGAGCTGAGTTTAGACCTGGACACCCATCTAAATACCGTAGAGCAAAAGTAAATTGCCCTATTAAGGCTCGCACATTATACTTAGGGTAAGTACTATTCAACTTTCCTTTCTTACAGGAGTTGCCTGCCTTAACTTTTTGGCTTAATACTAGCAGAGTAAATTAAGAAAAAAATTTAACTCAATGAGGTATTTGACTGAAATAGAAAATTTGCAGTTTTTTGAGGGTATCTATTGTGCATAAATTTGGGGATACGAGAATTTGCCAGTGAAATGATAGCAGCTCTGTGCTTACAGAGCAAAGATGTGCTAGTCTGAACATGCCTGATCTCATCTGGAATCGAAAGCTAAATCTAGGTGGGCCTGTAATAATACCAGAAAAGGAACACATGTATCTTTTGTGCAACCTTTTTTTTTAAGCCAGGCTTCCAAAGGAAATGACAAAGAAGCAGGTTCTCCTCTTGTTTAGTAATAAATAGTCATATTTTGCTTCTGGAGATATGTATTTCCAGTTGTTTTAGGGTTGTTTTGTTTTGTTTTGTTTTGTTGTTGTCATCACTGTTGAAGAATATTCTTTCCTGTCAGTGATTGTTAACACTTGCCATTTTTCAGAATGTTTTATGTCCATTAACTCCATTTGATGTTTCCTCACTTGGTTACCTTTTTCAAGTCTGCGATGACCCTCTCAGGCTTTGCAATTCTGACCGATTCTTGCCAGAATATACTTATTCATTAGCTGTTTTGTTATAGTTAGGGTGGAGATAATCTCGTTTTTCAGGCCTTTATAACTATCCAAACAAATTACCTTTTGAGGTGAAATTTCTCGTAGTTATCCTTGACTCAGAACTGAACTTGTCTTGAAAAGGCTTGAAGAAAATCCAATTAGCCGTTTTTTTGAGAACTAAATATTCTAATAAATGCAAATGAATTTTTTTACAAAATACTTATTGACGTGCAATGCTTTTCTAATTTGTTTTTCTTTTCGTGCTTTAAAACAGAACATGAAAATTAAATGTGTAAAAAGAAAGAAAGAAAGAAAGAAACCTGCCAGGTTAATGCTGATATTTTAATTACCCAATTTAAAATAATAAAAAGTTTTAATTTCTATGAACATATTACCTTTCAATATCAGTGAGTAATACTTTGTACAGGTGTATATATACATACACAGACACTGAAAGACACGAATCCACTTTACATTTATATTAATTCTACTTTTACATAAAAGAGAAAGGATTAGCGTTAATGCAAAACTTTTGTTAATTTATCATATTTTATTATTTTTTTATAATTTAAAAATCCACTTAACTGTTGCTTCCACGGGATTATTTAATATATGTATTTACTTAATAACATCTATTTATAATCTAATAATTTATCTTAATTTACAAAATATTTTCATAAGTCTTACACACTCCTGAATTTTATGCAACTATATTAATGTGCAAGTTTACTCAGATAACAATTTGCTTTGTTCTGTATCTGTTAGTGTGTTAAGAAGCGTTTTCCTTTCCCATAGAAAGAGGAGGGCCATCTTTTCTATTTATGATATCTATATGTCTTCAATATACTGAAGAAGAAACTTTTTAACCTGTGATCTCTTGGAAATCTTTCAAACCATTTGGAGAAGTAACCTTTACCTTGCTACTCCTTGGTCCGTTTGCTTGCCCTTTACCATACCACCCGTCACCACCAGCAACCCTGAAAAAACAACAATAATAAACAAGATATGATAATTTTTCTGATCACAGAACCAGGAAATACCAAAGAAAACTGTGGCATATGTAGGAAAATGCCAAGAGCTTCTCCAGTCAGATCGGCTGTTTTTGTACTTTTTTTTTCTCTTGAATTGTGTTTGGGACTTTTTTGGCTTGCTGAAGCATATCCTCATAATCTTATGAAGCCACAGCAAATTCCCAATGCCACAACAACACTGTGCAGCCAGGGAGAGCCCCGAAGAAGTGATCCTGGGTGGCTGCAGGCTTCCCCAGCAATGATGCAAGCCAGGAGGAGTAAGTAGGCTACTCTGTTCTGCTCTTTGCTCCTTATCTAGGCTGCTCAACCTGCCAGGTAGAGATTTTCTTTCTGTAGCTTTCTCTTCAACTCTCGGAGGCATTTCCTTCAGTAACCAATGACTTTCTACTTCTTCCAAGAGATGGTTCATATAGCAAAGCATGCATTTTTATTTTATATTGAAACATGAAAAGCTTTGAAAATTGGGAAGGGGAAAGGACAGGGTCTCAGGGTATCTGGGAAATATCCAAAATGGCATCAGGCTCAAAGCTGTTTTTTTTGTGGCTGCTCAGGTCTGTAACTTTTCTATTCTCTCCAGAGCCTCTAAGTGGTTGAAAGTAGTGAATGAGATAACTATAGGGTACAAACTATGATCTAACTGATTCAGTAGATGGAGCTCTTCCCCCTAAGTCTGTATTTAAATTAACGTCCCACTCTTGTGGGGCTCTCTGTATTAAGGTGTATCATACTACACATGTAAAATTGAGGCCTACATAGCTGGAGAAGAGATTTCCTGACACTTTTCAAAAGACATGCAGCATTTGCTCTGCCACATGAAGCAATGCAGAGTAGCTCCAAGGATGGGGTGGGAGATGAAGTTCACCTATCTAAATGTCTTCCTATGTTTGTTAATATTGTTAAGTGTGAAGTTAAATCCTAGCAGTTATCATAGAAGTAATTATTACTGTAAATGTAGAAAAAATATATAGCACATGCAGAGTTTTGGCTGTATTCATTGCAAGTCTTCCAAGCTATCTGAACTGTGCAGATCTCCTTTCATTTGATTCTGCAAAGGAATCTTAATACTGTAAGGCAGTTGTTTCATCCAATTAGTCTGGAGAACCTGACTAAAATGTTACAGATTCTGAATTGTGACAGCGCAGTGGAGGGCAAAGTCGCTATGTTAGTAAGGTGCCTTAATGGAAGCCAAAATATTTTCAGCAATAACTGAAAGTAGATCTCCGGTATCTATTTTAATGTGGAAAGAAATACTTGTTTATTTCTTTTTAAATTACTTGAAATGAATAATTGCCACAAAATTCTTGCCAGTGTTATATTATTTTCAGTACCAGTAGAATAAGTTTCATCATGTTCTTTCCTGGTACCAGGAGGGAAAATATATGTATGCTGTGTATATTAAAGTATCTTCCTTACTGGAATGTCTTCTCACAGATTGGAGATATTACTGAATATCTCTTGTTAAATCTTGATAAGATCATTTGGCCAAAGTAGAACTGATCTTGGCTTTAGTACCAAAAGAAATAGCATTTTTAAAGGACTTGGATTCCCTTTGCATACCACGTGCCTGAGTCCGATACGGTCCAGGAAAATAGAGAGGATGAGACAAAATTATTCCTAAGCAGCCGCCGTAGGCCAAACAGTGAAACAGTGCCAACCTGGACCAATCAGGCCGGCTTCTCAGAAGATGCATGCTTTTGTCGAACACTTACATGAAGAGAAAGAGGGAGGAAGTCCTTGAAACTGCATTCGTATGAATGATTCTTCACTAATTTCAATAAAGTCCATGGTAATAAATTCAATGATTTTTATCCTTTTGTAAAGTAGAAAATCTGAGCTTTCCTGGGCAGCTAAGGATCTCTAAATGTTGTACTCTGACATCTTTTGAACAAAACTATCCTTTTGAATTTAAGCAAGTGAAAAACTTCTCACAGAGAGCAAAGAGTAAAATTGATGGAAACTCAAAATCAATTCCAAACCCATTTCTGGCATGATGAGAATAACATTTGTGCTGTGTTTAAAGCAGTTTAAAACAAGAAAATGATAAAATGATCAATATACTTAAAGCCAAAAATAACCAGGAGAGAACGATCTGTAATCTATTCCCAGTCCTGAAACTCTATACTTTTTATCGAACATAAAAATAAACAACTTTATCTTTTATAAGGTAGCATTGTAAGCCTTATAACATAAACAGCAATGATGAGATGCCAAGCTTTCAACCCCTTATTTAAGCTATGTTTTTAGAGTTTAGCCAAACAAAAATTCCTGGACTTAAACTATTGTGGATTTATTTATTTGTACATACCATGACCATGAAAAGAACAAAAGTTATGGAATATATAGATTGTCACAGTGAAATACATTCCCTCTTGACAGCCTGTGTAGTCTATTTGTTTTAAAAAGAAAAAAAGGTTTAACTTAGCAGAAGAATATTTTAGCCTATATATGAAAGTCAGTGAATTGCTCAATGTTGAACAGATTTACTATTTCTTTAAGAATACATTGACTATTGACTAATTTATTAAATTCAACATATAAATAAATATGAATCATACATATTTTATACTTATTACTTTAATAGATTGCTTTAAAAGACTAAGATGGCACTAAGAAATTTTGAACCTGTGGATTCAAGGTCAGTGAAATGCCACTGTCCAAGTTTACAAAAATTGCTCTAGACTTAAGATTTTGCCCTGATGAATGATTTTCTACCAGTTTTTCAGAGTCATTTGATTGGGTAGGTATTTATTGATCAGATAAAATAAAAATTTCCATCTAGATGAAAGAATGCTAGCTGAAGAAATTAAAGTGACAACAAATTGTATAAGCACATTTAATTTCATTGAACTGAGGTGCTGTAGGAATGATGATAATTCTAATGAGCACTGTGACGAGTGTAACTACAGTGCAGCATGTGTGATTACATCAGTAAGAGTGAACTCGGTGGGCTAGGTCAGAAGGGTAAGACACGGAAGCCATGACACAGTGGGGGCTAATGATTAAAGTTATTGGAGATGTTTAAAGCTTGCAGCTGGGTGCAAAATTAACAGATGTGGAAAAGAAGAGTCCATCAATGCTAAAAGTAGATAGAAAAACAGTACTTTTTCCTATAGGATATAATCAGTTGTAGAATTCACTGTTGCAGGGAATCATAACAATAGCATAAGCTTTGGTTGTCCAGTGTGATAGTAGTTGTAAAGAGCTGTTGTGCACATTGGCTTAAAGATGCATGTAAGTGTAACTGTTACAGCAACTAGTTATGCTATTGTTTGAAGTTGAAAAGCTCTGCTTTCAGGGTCGACAAAGCAAATGTCAGCATCATAGAATCACAGTCATTGCATCTTAGAGCTGGAAGGAGCCTTAGATATCTCAATATGGATGAGTGGGTTCCTTTTCAACCAGAAAGGAATATTGGAATATCTGGTCCAGGATCATGTAGAATCTGACTATATAAATATTAATACATTTAAATATATATTTTATTTACACATATATTTTTCTTCAAATATTTTATATATTATAATGGCTTATATTTGGAAAACAAAATTTAAAAGAAAAGCCTATTAAAATAGAGAAAGTAAAGCTCCACAAATTTATCTGGACTAGTGGTGCTAGACATTGAATTCTGTAAACCGGGAATTCTAAATAAGGAAGAGTGACAAAACTTACAGAAAAACAACATTTTGTTTTCATCAAAAGGAGGAGAGGTGTCTCACAGATTGAGAAACGGTATTTAGGCTGAAACCACTCGTTTTGCCAATAATAAAACTTAAACAACAGAAAAGTGACAAAACTTTCTCAAGACGAGAAAGGTAAAACTGGGACCAGAAATCCAATTTTCTAACTCTGGTATATACTCCTACACCATAAGGGTGACCACTAAAACAGATTTATAAGAATAAAAAGTGGATGATATTCTAGAAGTAATTGAAGAAGAGACCAAAGGAACTAGACCCTTAGGGCTCCTATTTCTGTACCAGGAACCTCACGTTAGGTGGGACACGGGCAAATAGGTATGGTGAGGATACGTCATTCTGGGAAATGAAAGAAAATGCATCCAGATCCATGTATACTCTCTAGAGAGTCTCTGAATTTAACAGCACTCCCCTGACCCCGACAGCCTTGTAGCTCATTTATCTTCTTTCTTCTACCCCCACTAGGAAAAAACAAAAAAAAAAGAAAATTAAAAAAAAACTTTTGAGAAATTGTATTCAGAAGAGCTTTTGGAAAGAAGTCCTTCTAGAAATTTTTCTGTAGAGATCAGTACATTTATTATCAAAGCATGAGTTCTAATCAGAGGGCGCTGATTCAGCAAGCTTATGCACATTACAAACCGGACTACTCCTTGTTTCCTAAGCATGCACCACATTTTCCCATCCCTTTTCCTTCTCCCTGAGTATTCCCAAACAGAGGCAAACTCTGCCTCCTTTATTTGTATAATACTTTGTATCTTTTAATAACTCTTGTCATATTCTGTTTTATATATTAGCCATTCGTGTATCTATTTGTAATCGAGGCGGGGAGGAATATGTACTTTGGGGCAACATACTTAATTTTACTAGGCCTCACTTTACACATCTGTAAGGAGGAAAATGATGACTGCCCTCCTGCGATAGTGTAAGAATTCCATGAAATGTAGTATAAAAGATGCTTAACACAATGACTAGCATGTGGTCATCACTCAGTATCATTGTTGTTATTGTTGTTACTACTACTATTATTTATTAATATTTCCCTTCCTCTAGTTCTTTGGCATTAATATACTTCTTGAGGTCATAGATTGACCTAATTGAGTTTAATATTTCCTCATGCAATGAACACAATGACTTTTACAAAATAAGAACTGAATAAAAATATGTTGAATCTTTTTACAAAGTCCATATTAAACCTATGACTTCCTCATAAAGGTCTTTAAATTCTGTCCTGGAGCTTTAGAATAGTGGTGGTCATGGCCAGTGCTTGACCCTTGTGTACCATAAAATATATCAGTGTTGCTCACTGTGGACTGGTGGTGCCACATTATTTTTCAGTTTCCCCTCAGACCCCCAAAAGCTTAAGATGCTCTTTGTAGCATACCTAGAAGTGTCAGCTTATATTTCTGGTTCATGTGATTAATGAGCTTGTTATACCTCTGTCTGCAGCCTGAACTAGAAACTTTCACTTTGGAGAGCAGGTCAAGATATCGAATTTAATTTCGGTTGCATCTGTTATAAGCCAATTGTGTATTCATTACATTTATAGATTCCCTCTTCAGCCATATATTTTCATGGCTGTTGAGAGCACCTGAATCTGTGTTAAATGTCCTTAGATTTTACTTTAGAGACGTGAAAATGAGGCAGTGAGACATTTTTGATAGCTAGCTGTCATCTTTGGCATTTTCTTCCCTTTAGTGTCTAATCTGGTCTAAATTTGAAGAAGGGGGCAGGTATAGAATTTCTACCTAGCTTGGTATGGCATGGTAACTCTATATTAAGGAGGTCTATGGTCAGTGTAGTTCATCTGCACATTTCTGTTTTTCCAGACATGCAACCACATTCTGTGGAAATGGAAAACTTCTGAAAAATGAAAATGATAAAATAACTTGAGGCATGTAAGGGCAAAAATAGAGCATTAAGTGCATGGGTTCAGCTGTTAGCAGGACAACATGCAAGGTCGACTGTGAGTGTGTATGGATCATGCCGGCCCTTCAAGGTTTCAGCAAATAGCAAGAAAATGAAAAAGAGGTAGAGTGCATGGACATGGCACAGGAGAGGCTGACAGTAGGGTGTGCTCCACTGAGGAAGAATGTTGCATTTGAATCGGCCACAAGTTCCATTAATTTGAGAGTGAGCTGGTATTTGTGAGGGGAACAAGGTCACATTTAGTAGAACTGGTAATTCAATAAAGGGTTTTGACTGTGCCAGAGTAATGGTGTTGGCATCAAGAGAGAAAAGTTTTGCAGATTTCTGTGTGTGCACTTGCTGTTACTGGTGTTCCTGGTGGGTGGCTGAATCATCCTGATGGCATTCAACAGGAACCAGCTGCTGAGAATATTAAAATGCAAGCATTTATTCCTCTAGAGAGACAGTAGCATCTGCAAAGTTTTCCTATCTTGATAGTACAGATAATCCCAGGGAGCATTCTCTAGTAGTTTTAACTTTCTATTCATTTATACATTTTCTTTTTATCATTATCATTAGGATCTCAATATCTAAATGGAGAAAAGAGTGCCTTAGTGCTGAGTGCACAACAGGTTGTAGAGACAGATAGTAAACACTTGGCCAAGAACTTGGTATTGCCTCTCGGACTTTACCTTAAATTATTACCTCAAGGGGGAAAATGGCATTCCCCTCCCTTGTCCTGTCTTCGTAGCAAAGAGCCCTCTGTGCTCGTCGTCGTCTTCGGTGAGCTCTGAGCTCTACCAGCATAAAAACAGCTTTCTCTCACCCTCCCAATACAGGCTTTAGAGCTCTCCATTTTACTTATAAAACTTGTGAGTCTGGTGATTTCCTTGTGTGTGTTGTTTATTGTTTGTTTGTTTTGTTTTGTTGTTGGTGGTGTGTTTTTGTTTTGGTTTTGGTTTGGGTTTTTGAGCTGGCATCAACGGTTGTGGGAAAGGGAGGTGCAAAAAGGAGGTTTGAACTCAGTAATCTACTAGGTCTTTCTACCTCTAATACTTATGAATAATGTATTGAACTGATGGAAAAAATGTTGAATATGTTCATTATGAATTATATTCACCAGTGTGTTGCCTAGAATATAAAAGAGCAAAGCAGTTGCCGCGTAACTAGTTCCTTACAATAAATGTAGTGGTACAACAGAGCTCTGTATCCTTTCCCATTCCACTGTGTGTCGTCCCCAAACACACGCTTTACATGTCTGAGTGGCAACTGCAGACAGGGTACCTGATCGGATGACAGCCAGCCACGGTTCTGACGGGTACAGGGACATTCGTAGCGGAGTCTGGGTCCTAAACAGAAGCAGCTTTGTTGAAGATACTGATAGTACAGTCTCCCTTCTGAGGAATCACCAAAGCCAGTTTCATTACTCAAGTGCTATCATGCTGCAGGGGTTATAGTTCCTATCAACAGAAAAGAGACTTATAATTTTGCCCCCCTAATTTTTAAAAAATTAGCACGGATAACTAATTTGTTGGCAATGTTACATTGTGAGAAAAGTGAGCAAGAATGGCAGAAAATTCAGAGCTATTTATTACATTTAGCTTCAAAATTCATTATATGCGCTTCTCTATTGGTTTTCTTTCATAATTATGTTTTGTTTAGGATTTATTGAAATAAAATTGTATTTCCTAAGCATTTACCAGATAACATTGGGAAACACTAACCAGAAGCATGACAAGAAGCAAGAAATCTTTTTAGTCACACAAATAATCAAGACAAGAGATAATAAGGAGTTAAAATAATACCAAAATAGTCTTTCCCTGGCCAAATAACAGTGGGGCCCATTATTTATCAACCGTGTCACCCTAAGTGATATGCAAATATGTGCCAAAATAGAGAAAGATCATCTTAGGTCAGGGACTCAGAGGGGACAGCCCGAACATAGAGAACAGTTCCAAGTTAAAGCAGTTCAACAGAAAGGTGCACAGAAAGCTCTGGCCTTTGTCTGAGTTCCCAGGAGAGTAGTGGGATATCAGTGAGTAGGTTCTGCCTCAGAGAAGCCCTTCTTTCCGGTCGTATCAGTCCAGAGCCAATGGACTAGCTCTTACGAGAGGATGGTTCAAGACATCACTGGTACCGGCATCACCTTCATGCTAACATTAACTCAAGCTAACTGTCCCAGCATAATTTATCATCATACATTTCAGAAATGATCTTTTGTTCCTGTGCTCTCTTTGCTCTCTTTAGTGGCTAAAACCTATTAGAGCCCATGAAGAGCAAGTATAAATTTAGAGCAGCCACATTTATCAATAGTTTATAATAATCTCTGAGGAGAGGGAGAGAGAAGGTGAGAGAAAGTAAGAGAAACGAGAGAAATCAGAAAATATTTTTTTTCAGGAAAATTACATTGCCCAACATTTAGATCAGGTAGCTCAAGAACAGTAAAGGCTACCCCATCCAGAGTGGTATAATATAAGAGCAGATGTGGCAGTTCGTTGTTGTTGTTGTTGTTTTCCCCAGCTCCACCCCTCCTTGCAAGACAAATCATTTAACCTGTCTGTGTAATAGTGTATTTGTCAAATAAATAGAAAACCATCTATCCTCATCTGCTTCACAGCAGTATTGCTAAGGCTGATTGTGCACACATATATTAATGTATATATTATAGCTATCTATTTACAGCAGGGGAGAATGATTTTAAAATAAATGAATCAGGGTTTTATGTGTACATCCATTGTGAAGGTCAGTCACTTTTTTGTTAATTTTAAGAACTTCTCTGCCAATTACCAATTGCTAAAATTCTTGAAAATGGTGACTGAGCATATATCACCTCTGTGAAATGGAAGGCTTTTTAAATCTAAGCATGATAATAGAGATTCAAACACATTTCCATCTACCATGGACCCTAGTGGCCTTACTCAAAACAGTACAAACCTATTAAGCAAAGTTAAAGATTAGCTTTGCCAATAGATATCTTATTTAAAAAGTCCTAAATAGAGAATATAGCAATTGGTTATATCAAAGTGTAATTCTGGCTGTAAGAGTGAACTAGTTCTCTATACTAGATACTTATTTTTTTAATGGGGCAAAGATATATCGAAAGGACAGGATAAGGCTCAGCCTATACAAATATCCTAGGAATCTACCCAGGCTACTGGTCAGTCCCAACAAGAAGTAGGCTCAATATATATAAAGCCCATAAGAGGCCACATTCATTCATCTCACTTTGTACTACTATTATTCATTTGATGTTGGTCTGGCTTTTTAATCTCTCCTTTCTTCATCCAGACCTCAGTGGAATGATAATGTCATAAAGAGAGCAGGTGAAGATAAATAAATGTGATTTTTTAGACATGATGTTACCCTTTAATAGCTTTTCCCCGGGCCCATTCCAAGCATCCAGAAAAGAGAAACTTAGCTTCCACTGAGAGTGAAGTCATAGCTCCAACTTAGCATAATAAGAGAGAGTGAGGGAGCAAGCATACTATTAGTGAAAAGACTGAGTTTCTGCTGGGCTATGATCAGGTTCTCCTGTTTCCTCTATTTTTTTTTCTCAATCTGAAAGAGTTATTGTGGCAATTCACCTGTGCTTCTGAACCTGTGTTCACATGCCCAAGACCTGCTCCAGGTAAGGCCAGAAAGAAATTAGGGCAGACTTATATACAGGAAACTCAGCTCCTTTTGTAGTAACTTCTGCTTGTTTTGTTTTAGAGAAATTTGTGTTTTTAGAAAATATGTTTCAATTCCCAGACCTTGATATCCTGGGAATCCTTAGATTGTGACTGAAGTGGGGATTCATGGCTGTGACAAACATAGCAGAAGCCAGTGCAGTTGTGCCCTATCAGATACACTGTCAGAGCCCAGATTTTTCCGATCCTTGTTGCAGAATTCATTTCCTCCTTACCCTAGGTAGACAGGGTTAACTGGGAATTTTGAGAGTGGTGAAGCGTGTTTTTTAATTTGGGTCTTGGTCACTATGGAACAGGAATGTCTTGGTAAAAACAATAACTAAAACCAGGGCCAGCTTTATGGGTGTACACCTGTGCTCTGTGACCCTGGTGCACAGGGTCCTGTGTTTGGAAGGGCAACCCCCCATGCTTGGCTTAATGTACTACTGTTGCTATCTTGAAATTCTTAATAATTTTTTGAATAAGAATCCTCACAGTTTTCACTTTGCCTTGAGCCTCACAAATTATGTAGCCATTCCTGCCTGGAAGTTATCTTTCCCTGGCATGCCAACTGGAGGTATCAGTCACATGTCTTCTTTTACTGAAAATGATCTCCTTTATGGTTCCTCAGAAGTTTATTCTTCTGTTAAACTGTTTGAAGATTTCTGTCTACATAATGTAGTTCAGAAGAGCTCATCTCTCCTTCCTTCCTCCAAACACCTTGAGATGGTTATGATCAAGGTGATCTTGTTTTATAATCCAAAACTCTGTAGTTTTCTCAGCCAAGTTTTTTTTTTTTTTTTTTTTGCAAGAAGTTAACACGTAGGAGAAATAGTTATGTCATAATAGTGGGGTCTTTGGCCTTTACTGGGTCATTAAAATAGGCATCAGTCATTAAATTGAGATTTTAAAATGAGCATCTAACATTCAGGTTATCTTAGCCTAGGTACTTCCCAATCGTCATGTGAGCAAACACATCAGTGTACTCTGGAAACAAGCTGATCTCTGCACTCTGGTCCTGCGCTTCTCCCTCTCGCCGACTCCCATCAATGCCACTGCTAGCTCTGTGCTCCACACCCTTCCCCTCATTTCCCTTCTGCCTTCAGCGCATGTCAGTCCTTTCTTCTTGCTCAAAACACAACTGGCATTAGGAGGAGAAAGTTCCTCTCTTCAGTCTACATGTGGCGACTAATGAGATTACTTCTTGCTGAGTTTGGTACATACACACTAATCCCTGCCATCACCTTGATGAGAGTGAATTACAGAATTGTAAGGCCTGGAACAGCCCCCAGAGGCGCATAGACTTGTTCACAGTGATAGTTTGTAGGACCAAGCCTAACCAAAAGAATCCACACTTCCTGACTCCCAGTCTGGCATGCTCTTGGTAACTCAGGTGTCTTCAACATTCCTAAAAGATGAATTCTACATGACTGCCTCATAAACCTGTTTTCAGGTACCCATAACTGAGAGGAAGAGGGAAAAAAAAAAAATATATATATATATACACACACACACACACCCCACATACACACACATATACACACAAATTTAAGCCTATTTTAATGATCCAGTAAAGGCCAATATATGTGTGTGTGTGTGTGTGTGTGTGTGTGTGTGTATGATTTAATGTATAAGTAAATATAGGAGCTGCAGAAAAAGTCCTGTGTGAGAAGGAGCCTGACTAGCCACCTTGAGCTCTAGTTAGCTTCTCTGAGCCTGTAAAATATTTCCTATCACTAAGAATGTCTCCAGGGTTGTTGAGAGGATCCACAGAGATGCTCACCTAGCACAAAGTCTGACTCAGAAGTTCAGGAAAGTTTAGCTTCTTGTACCTCCCTCTCCTCTTCCTCCCTCACCTTCACTTTCCCACATCTTTTCTCCCTCCTCTAGGAAAGGACAGAAACCAGGAGGAATCTCATGGAGAGATACCATACAGCATAGTCCCTGTGAATTTAAGTTGTAGGAGACTAGATTAACCTACCCTCGCCTGAACCAGGTATGCTGAAGTTTGCAAGTTTCTAAATGAATGCAGCCCCCCTGTCCAACAACAGTGCAACCATGTCACGGGAGAAGGGCCAAAAAGCATTATTGATAAACCATGGCATCTCCCGAGGGATTTTTTAGTGGTTCACCAGCTCCAGTCAAAGGCCCCAGGCAAAAACTGCAAAGGAGACAGGGAGCTCTTTTCAGTTCTGGCCACCTCCTTCATCTTCTCCTCTGCCAGCAGAGCCTAGGGTCCTGTGTTAATCTGATTCCCTCCTTCAACTCCCCCTGTTCCAAAATTATCCTTCTCCTTTCCCCCAGCTCTGATTCAAAACTGATTTACACTGAGGTGTAAATCTCTTGGAGTTGAAGTGATTAGAACATCAAGCCATGAATGGCTTAACCCCTCTATGGGATGTTTGCATTTCAGGAGAAGTGTTGAAAATTGAAATGTACCTCATTAACAAGGGGGCGTTTTATGGTTTTTGCCTGCTGTAGGTGGATATCTCTTCTGCACCAAACTAGTCTGCCTAGAACCACCCATGTTCCCAACGCAGCTGTACCACCCCACCTTCTTTCTTTATCTTTGGTCACATATGTGATATGAACTCAGAAAAGCAAACTTTCTTCCTGGGAAAGAGAGGGGGAGGGAATATAGGTTTACATAGTAAATAATCAAAGTCAGGATGATTACAAAGCAGCCCTCTTATAATATTACCTTTTTAAATATGAAACTAAGTTTCTATCTTGGATAGCCAAGGCCCTAATGGGTAAGGTTATAGGAGTAGTATAAACAGGTTTATAACCCATATGCTTTGGGATAAGTCAAGGCTCCTACCTCCTGTGAACTCTGAGCATTTTGCAAATTTGAATAATCAGTTACATTGACTTCTCTTTTTACAGATGAGAGTATTAAGACTCAAATGGGATATAGTTTTTTTTTTGTTTTTTTTGTTTTCATGTCACCCAACTCAACAGCAAAGCTGAGTTTGGGGCCCTTAGGGAATTCTAGCTTTTCTATCCTACGTATAGTTGGGGAAATTGCAAAGAGCACCTCCATCCACCCGAGCCAGCTTTCCCTTCTTCTAGTCATTTCGCTATACTAGCTGTTGTTCCTGCAGGCATAGAGAAAATGTTAGCATGAGAATCAAAGGGAGGCTGTGGAGCATTAGGGGAATATTAGCAACTATTGAAAAGACATTTTGACCTATTTCTGTAGTTATCAATTTAATAGTATTTGTTGCCAGGAAATGCACCGATGGTGGGTGGGAAGTTGGATTGCACTAGCAGCCTGTTCTCAAGGGCCCTCCAGTTACAGGAGGTGGTAATTCTAGTTAATAAAAGGGTGAACTTCAAACACATTTTAACCAAATCAAATTGTAGTGGGAAATATCATATTACTGATGTTCAAGCCGACTCACAGCTGGTAACATTAGTCAGTATCTAGGCCCAAAATTCTGACTTTTCAGCGTTTTCAGATGAGTTTCTGGCAGTGAGAGAGTTCCCCAGGCACATTGTTATGTAGGAATAGGAGATTTTTAACTAACGTAGGAGCTAGCATAAATGAAAAATTCTTTATTCTCGTTAGACTTTTTATAAGATTGTCAGATATTCAAATAATATGTAACCAAGCCAAACTTCAGGTTGATAGGAAATCTAGAGCCAGGAGTTTTAATTTTTTTTTTGTTTTGTTTTTTTCTATGACATGTTGGCAAATGATAAAAGCAATTCACTCTGCTAACCAGAGACGCTGGGCAGAATTCCCCCAACACTGATTTCATGCCATGAAAAGCACACGAAGTCTGGCCTGGCAAGGCATGGCGAAGAGCACAGGCTTTGTGTCCTCCCGCCCGGGTTTGCATTCCAGCCTAGCCCCTGCTAGCTGTGTGACCAGAGGACATTCACCTGACCTCTCTGGACCTTAGGATTACACATAGAAAATGGGCAAAATATTAATCATTCTTGTTGGTATGAGGATCAAATGAGATAGCATATGTAAAGAAATCCATGTGTAAAGAAAAACAGTGCCAAGCATGTACCAAGTGTTCAAAAATGATCATTATCTTCCTCCCTTTTTGCTTGCATGGTTTACAAGGCTTTTTAAAAAACAGCTAATTTTTTTCCCAATAAAATGCACAGCTTTTACTATAACAATAAAAGAAAACACTGCTGGATGCCCTGCAGACTAATCTGGTCAGTCTTCTTTCAGTGAATAGCTAGCTGTTGGCCACTTCATCTTAGCCCTGGTGAAGGCGAGATTCCCTTTATTAGCCTCCCCTGGGTTCATACATATAACAGGAGACACTGTAGGGGAATTATAACCAAAACAACCGGACCCCCTGATAACATAGTCCCAGGTTACATGGGCCTAGGTGAGACAAGGGATCCTATGAGCTCCTGGAACTCTTCATCCCTCTTCCTTCCCTGCCTTACTCCACCTCACATGAATTTGGAGAGATGTCAGACACCTTTCGGAGGGATTGCCTCCAGCCTGGATTTTTTTTTTTCCTAAACTTTTTCCATGTGCCTGAGTCTCCGTTTTCACAGAGATTAATTCTGATTTGGTTCGCCTACACTTTTGACGCTCTAAAAGCTTTTTATTGTGGGCAGATTGTCTCAAATACTGTATTTGAGGATGGAAAAAGCAAACTCTGCCCAAATGTAAGCACCATTGAATCACAGAAACAGGTTTTTTTTTTCAATTGCATTCTTTGAGGATCCAGACAACCTTGAATCCTTTACAAAAGAACATCATTAATGCCATCCTCTCTCATAGAAAGATACACACACACACACACACACGCAAACTACAGAAGACTACTGTTGATGATGTAAAGGGCTAGAGTGTCCAAAAGGAATAAAAATTGAAAAAGGTGAGTCTATAGAAAAAACCCATACCTAGAAACCAGGACATCCAAATTCTATTTCCTACTGCCAAGGGAACCTCCCTTCTTGTGTGAATCCTAGAATATCTACCCCTGCCCAACTCCATTGTCTTTACTTCTAAGGAACATGGATTCTAGCTCATGCTTGTTAGGAGCTATCAGGAAATTCATCTGTTGCTGTTTTGAATGACATTTTGTTACCTATATCAAGGATACTTTACACAGGCAAAGTGTTTTCCCTCATTTGGAAGGATGAAACTCTAAACTGTACCTCCCATCACTCTGGAATGGGTAAAAGACTGAACTTTTCACACTAATATGGGAAGAAAATAATGTCATTATAATGCTAACTTCTAACAGGGTCTTATAACAATCTAAAATATCTAGGGCTGATGCAGACCCACTGATCTGGCCTATCATTTAATTGACTTCCATTTTTATGAATGCATGTTTTAGGTAAACATTAATTATGGGACAACTCAGTGTGAGAGGTGGTGTGGATACAGAGTGCATGTTTCTCCCCTCAGAGCCTAGCGAACCCCCTGCCCCACTGTGCACACTGACGCCTAGTTGACTTGAAGCTTCCTTTTTGTGCATTGAGCCACTTTGGTATATGTGTGGACAGGTGGTTCTGTACCCAGGAGGACTTGCTTCTTCTGAACTGTTAAAGCACTTATTTGTATGTGTCATGTGGCACTGATTGCATAGTATCCTATACTGGAGTATGTTTACACGTATCTCATCCCTCCTGCCACTGCACAATAGACTTCATAAATACAGAGACTATGTTCATACACAGTTGCATCCTCCTCAACACCCAGGATGTGTCATCAGAAATAAAAGGTACAGTAATAAATGTTATAATTTGAATGAATGAAATTAACAATAGCTTGTATTTGGCAACAAATTATCTCTTCTGGACTCCGTAAATGACTACCCAGAAGCAGAGAACATTAGTCAATTATACCTATAGATGTTAAGGATTTTTATTTCAGTTTAGTACTTATAGGTTTCATTCTTCCCCACTCTGGACATTTGTACATGGTAGGTTTTAAATAAATGATTGTTGGTTTATTATTTGAAATCATAGAATAAAGCAGAGATTTCCCAATTTCCTTATATTAAAATAATAATTTTAATTCTCATCTACTTCTTTATCTTCAGACCTTGTCTGTCCCTACTATACTGATATCCTGGGCTTTCATTCCATGTGGTTCCTGACTTGAGTTTAGAAGTGGTCATGACTTTTAATTTGGCCCCTTTTCAAGCCTCTTACAGGGAATAAGGAAACTTTTTTTCTATCTCCTCTTCTTTCTCCTAGGACTGTTGCATGTTGAATGGAACCTGTATCTGTATAAAAATCTTTTAATTCTTAGAATAAACATAATATCGCATATATAATGTCAGATTGAGCAAGCTTGGCATCCCAGCACACCAAATAGTTTTGTACATCCTATGTCTCAAGCTTATCTGTGGACCTGAGGGGTGAGGGGTTTATTACTCTAAGCTTTTAAGTTAGGTACACATGATCTATATTAGCTACATTAACTGTGTCCTCAATCCAAATAACATAGCTGACTTAATAGATCCTCTCCAGCCACACAAAAGCTTCATCATTACTCTCCAACCTGATTGGATCCTAAATTTCATCCACACAAAATGATCTTAAACCAGTCACCTTGTTGTTAGGTCATAGGAAATGATATAGCAAAGAATTCCAAAATAAATACATTATTCTAGTCTTTCTTTGGTTCTTCCCCAAAAAGTCTGTCTCACAGCAAGCTGAGAGAGCCAGTCCCTCCTCGGTTAGACATTCTGTTGAGTCATGTTTACTGTCCCCCTCAGAAAGGTTCCAAAAGCAAATGCAAGAGGTTGCTGAATGCAGGGACATGTGGCGTGCATGCTACTGAAGTGAGAGGCATAGCACACACCTGCTTTTTGGCTGTGGCAGGCCATCTTGACTGTGCCATGCCACAAGTTAGCATTTTGGATGAGCAATTGCCATTCTGTTGTTTTCTTCTCAACACATGGTGTTCAAAAACAGTTAAAAGAAAACTGTACCCATTTGCTCATCCCAGAAATCTAAAATTTCAAAGAAGCATGCCAAATTAATTTTCACATAATATTT